TTTTTTTTTTTTAAAGGGGGTAGGGGGTATATATAACCCAATGCAGAGTACTCCTGGATTCAATACCAGTACTGAAAGGAAAAATCCTACTTTTAGCCGTTGAGCCACAACCCCAGCCCTGATATTCCTATTTTTCTTTTCTTTTCTTTTATTAGATACTTTTTTCTTTTTTTTTTTTTTTTTACTAGGGGTTGAACCCAAACCCAGTTTTGTGGGAGCCAGGCTAGTGCTCAGTCACTGAGCTACAGCCATGGCCTGGAAACTTTAAAAGCTGATACTTGCCTGAAATAGTGTTCTTCTAGATGCTGACATTTTCTGCCCAGATAACCCAGAGTCCACTTCCAGGGTCTGTGTAGCCTTCTGCTCTTGGTACCCTCCTTTGCTAGTGTGCCCATCTGGCCCCCGAGGCCACCAGGAGCAGCTGTTTGCAGAGGGGCGGGGGTGGAGCTAGGACTTGTGAGTGGGGGGATCCACTTAGGTGCTGCAGGATTCCTCGGTGCAGAATGGGCCCAGGGGATGGAAAGAGATAGGGGGAGGCAGGCAGAGGGCTGGGAGGGCAAAGGTAACCAGAGCTGAATTTAAACCTGGCCTTCCAAGTTGTTATGAAGATAAATCTTTCAAGGAACATAACAGACTGTGCGCCTGATTTCATAACTCCTCCACACCTAGACGTGGGGTTTGCGGGCCTCTGTTTGTTCCTTTCCCTGAGGCCCAGGAACATTCCAGGAAGGCCTGCCTGTAAGCAGGACAGATGAGGAGCCTGTGAAATGGCAGGCACTCGCAAAAGCACCTGAGCATTTTATTGCATAGCTTTTACCAGATTCTCAGAGCAAAACCAGAGCCAAAGTCACTATTCCTGGCCAGGATATTGTCGAAAATCTAACAGGGCACCGGGCTAGTTAAAGACAGGGTGACAGGCCATCTCCTCTTCCCCTTCCTGGTGTGACGGTAGAGCTAGAGAACAGCCATCGTTGGAACCGCCAAGGAGGCCTTGGTGGTTATTTTTCAGTATCCTGGTATTCTTTCCAACTGCACAAAGCAGTTTGTAAGAGTCCTCCCTTCTCCAGTGGAGAACCAGCCCCCAGGCCCAAGCTCAAATGGTTTCCCTCCATCCACAGCAGCTCTGCAGATTCTTTGGAGGGTCCTCTGGGCCTGGGCAGCCACCTGACTTCCTCTGGGCATTGGGCATCGCCATGCAACCATCCAGGCTCCTGAAGCCCTGCAAATCTTGGGCACCAGGAGCCTCATGCAAAACGGTCAAGCACAGCCCCAAAGCAGTTTTCCTAGTGCAGAAAGCCACTGACCCAGAGCCAGAGACAGCAGCCACTGAGGACTGGGAGGAGGGGCACCCTGGACTACAGCTGCCTGTCCCAGAGCTGGGAGCAGAGAGAAGAGTGGCGCATGAAGAGGAAATAGGGCATGGTTCTCCCTCCTCACCTCCCACAGGCTATTTATTTATTTGGTACTAAGGACTGAACCCAGGAGTGCTTTACCACTGAGCCCCATTCCCAGCCCTTTTTATGCTTCGAGACGGGGCCTCGTTAACGTGCCGAGGTTGGCTTTGAACTCAAGATCCTCCTGCCTCACTGGGGATTATAGGCATGCACCACTACACCCAGTTAGGCTTTTTATTTTTTAATTTAATATTTTTTTTTGTGGTACTGGGGATTGAACCCAGATGCGCTTAACCGCTGAGCTACATTCCCAGCCCTTCAAAATTTTACTTTGAGACAGAGACTAAGTTGCCCAGGCTGACCTCAAATCTGAGATTCTCCGGCCTCAGCCTCTCAGGTAGCCAGGATTATAAATGGGTGCCACCAAGCCCAGCAGTGTCTCTTTTTTCATATTCCACAGCCCGAACCAAAGGATCTGAATGATGAAACACTGAACTGTGAAATTTCAGAGGTGGAGCTACTCCCTTCCAGGGTGGGTGCCCAAGGGTGCTCCTTCCTTCCTTTGTTCACACCAAGAGAGAAGGCCCTGGGACCTTGGTGGTACCAGGGACCAGAATAAGATCCAAGGTGCCCAAGGCTGCAGAGGCTTAGTGAGGTAAAGAAGGGATCAGGAGGTCAGGGAATGTCTTCAGCACAGCAGGGACAAAGTGGGGAACCTAAATGCTCAGTAGAGGTGTGTTTGTACAAAAAGGGAAGAAAACAGGCCCCGAGGTGGCAGGGAGAGTGGACATACGTGGGCCTTGCCCCTCAGGTGTCTGTACAGGATCGGGTCTGCAGAGGAGCAGGGTGGATATCCTCTCAGCGGCTGAAGAGTCTTCATCTGTCCTCTGAAACCGCTCTGGAGGTCAGCAGTGAGAGGCAGGAAGTTCGGGGGGTGGGGGGCCTCGTGGGAAAGAGAGGCCCCAGCCTCCGCTTGCCGTAAAAGCGAGGACACCCAAGTTGGCAGCCCAGCTCATCTCAAGGGATTAAGGCCTGCTTCTGCACCCAGGAGAGAGAGGGAGGGACCGTGGCCAGAAGGCTCAGAGTTCCAGACAGACCCGAGAAGGGTTGGGCAGGCCCTCCCCACGTGGAGGCCGGAGCAGGCTGTGTTCCCGGGCAGGCAGGCAGCGGTGGGACTTTCTGGCCCTCGACTTCTTCTCCTGGAGGAGGAAACTGATCTTATCCTCACGGCTCCCTCTGAGCTTAGCACCTGCTTGGAACTGTTGCTTCTGAGAAGGAAGGCCAGATTTCCCTATGACAGAATAGACTGGTTAGGGTGGAGGGGCAAACAAGCCTGGGGACGGCCATCGCAGGAGGTTTGCTCTGCCTGGTCCCCACACCCAGGCCCTAGCTCTCCCGGAACCAGGAGCCTCCCCCACACGGTTTCCTGAAGGAAAGGTATGCACTAGGACCTCCCGCAGAGTCTGTATAATAGTTAGATTCCTTTTAAGATATGTATTGATGCATTTATGGTGGTACTAGGGGTTGAACCCAGGGGTGCTTTATCAATGAGCCATATCCCCGACCCTTTTACTTTCTGAGACAGGGGCTCATTAAGTTGCCCAGGCTGGCCTAGAATTTGAAGTCCTCCTAGCTCAGCCTCTCATGCAGCTGGACTTACAGGCACATACCACTGTGCCTGCTAGATTCCTTGACAGTCCCTCAAAAAGCCAGGAACCTCTGAGGCTAGGAGGTTGATGTCATTAGAAAAGACATGAGGAACCAGGCTTGGTGGCACATGCCTTTATTTCAATGGCTTGGGAGCCTGAAGCAGGAGGATCACAGGTTCAAAACCAGCCTCAGCAACTTAGTGAGACCCTGCCTCAAAAAAAATAAAAATAAAAATAAAAAAGATCTAGGAATCTATCTCAGTGGTAAAAATATTTTAAGGTCTTTAAAAATATTCACCTGGTACTCTGGAACTTTCCCTGCCCAGATCCCCCACCCCCGGCCCCCAGAATGTGTTTAGAACAGCAATCAGTTCAAGGTCTGAAGCACCAGCCGTCAGCTGGACACAAAGTCTCCAAGCTCTGCCTCAGCATGGCCCACGCCCATCTCCTAGATGAAACTCCGATGCAGAAAGCCAGAAAGCGGGGCAGATAGAGGAGGTGCTGAGCGCAGCAGATTCCCTCCTCCCCGCCTCACCCTCCTCCACTCACTCACTTCCACTTCAGAGACAGTTTCTGTCTTTACTTTGACATCAGTCTTGTTTAAACATCATAAAAAGAGACAAATTACACACTTCTCAGAAACTGGAATTTTATAAAAAGGTTTTTTTCTTTTATATTCATAAAATGATATAATTTCTGCAAGTATAGAAATGTGTCATAAATTATACAGAATGTTCCTTAATTACAGCTCAATGCAACTTGGTACTTTCTTCCCTCCCTAAAAACGAGAGAGAACCAAAAAAATAATATATATATAACTGTATATATATATATATATATTTATATAATATAGACCAACCAAATATGAAAAAAAAAAAATCATTTCCTCTTTGGTATAAAAATCAGACTCTCACCTTGAGAGACACACAGACAGACATGATATTGGGTTTGTAAACTGTGGCCAAAAGGGATTTCCCTGTCAAGACTCCCCCTCCCCCGTTCCTTGAGGGTTCACCCCACCTGACTGCAGCCTCTGCCCAGCTCCTTTGGGGCTCCCACAGGGAACGCTTATGATCCCCCACTCCCAGCTCCACACCATTCCCAAACTGGTACTTTCTACCCCCACACAGTCCCCAAAGGAGAGGAAGGGCTTCCTCTGGAGGCTGATTGGTGGCAACCAACTTGGGAAACGCCTGACGTGGGGCACAGCTTGTGGACGATGGAGATAAGACGGGGCCGTGGCCAGCCTCCAGCGGAGGCCTGTTCAGATGGACAGGATGCTGAGCAGACAGAGTCCGGCCGCGGCCTGGCCTTGCCCTTCCCTTCTGCCTCCTCCCAGCGGCGAGGCCTGCTGGTGGGACGGCTGGTTTCCTGGGAGAGGGAGCAGAGAGGCCGGGTTCCCCAATCCCACCTCAGGGTTCTGAGGTGCAGGTGCAAGACAGCTCCAGCTGAAGAGGAGGGGGGAAGTCAGAAGAAAGTCTGCTAATGAACTTGGGACTAAATTCAAAACGAGAGCTTTCCTTTTTCTCCTTAAGACGAGATTTCAAACTGGGCTTTAGCTCTCTGAGGATGAAGGGGCCACTTTTCCAGGCTCCAGCCCCAAACCAGCAGGACTTCATGGATGCCAGGAAGGGACATGTGTGCACTGGGGGAAGGGACAGCGCATGACTCTCAAGGTGAGGAAGGAGACAGGCCAAGCCCTCCTTTTCACTCTCCCGACACCCCCGGCTGGGCTTCCTCCCTCCCTGCTTAGCCTCTCTGTCCCACCAGGGCACCAGCTACTGGAGTGTGGCCAGGGAGACACAGCTGCTCCCAAGCCACTCCACCAGGAGGGGTGTCCCAGTGAGCCCCAGGCTCCTCTTCCCAGGAGAGTTAAGACACCAATCACAACATAAAAGTCACACCAAGGCCTCCGCCATCAGCCAAATAAAAAAGACAAAACCAAACTGGACACAAACACGAATCAGGGAGACACCCACGACGTGAGGGGCCCGGAGGCCCCTTCCCGGCAGGATACATTCTGGTGTAATTCAGGAACGGGGTGCTAGAGCCCCTCTGGGGAATGGGAGTAAAAAAATATGGAGATTACAGTGTCCCTGGGAGCTCGCGGGCCGGGCAGGGACAAACAATCTCTCACAGTTTTTCTTATTTTTGGTACCATGTCTGGTCCCCACGGGGCTGCTTCCTGGTGCCTGAGCCTCTGTCTGCCCCTGGGCCCCCTCCCTCCGTCTCCCCAGAGTCTACCAGAGGAGGCGGGAGGCACAGAGCGAGGACCAACAGTTCGAGATACTGTTCCCTTGGCGACCCCCTGGCCAGCTGCTCTGGTCACCAGCACGGAGTGTCCTGCGACCGCAGGTCTTCACCCCTTGAGGGGCTTCTCGGCCCCGCCGCCCGGGCTGCCGGCGCTGTCGCTCTTCTTCCTGCGCAGGCTCTCGATCCAGCTGGAGCTGGAGCGGGCCGTGAAGCTGGACAGCGCCAGGGAGCTGAGCCGCATGTTCTTGCCGGACATGATGAGCTCCCCGAAGCCCTCCTGGTGCGAGAAGGCGTAGCCCGAGCGCCGCGACCCCGTGCGGCCGGCCCGCCGCATGCAGCGGTGCTGCGCTTTCTGCTTTTTCCTCACCAGCTGCGTGTAGCGGACCTGGGGGACACGGGAAGGAGCCAGCGGTGTGACTCGCCACCACGGAGAAGGGACCGGGGCCCTGGGACAGGCCAGCACAGGAACCTCCACGTCTGTGCAGCTTAGGACCACCTCCAACCCCCAAGCCACAGTCCCGAAACAGCCACACGGGCGCCTGAGACAGCCCTTCAGGCCAAGGGTCTCGCCCCCAGAGCCCACAGCCCAGGAGGCCAGCTGCTCACCGTGTCAGACAGGTCTGGCTTCAGGCTGAGCCTGAGGAACCGAAAGGCCACCACAGGCATGATGCAGACGACCGTGGTGAGCACGATGGTGAGCCACACTGTGGGCTGGGCCAGGGTGTTCTGGGCGTTCCCTGGAGGTACACAGGGGACGGTGGCCTTGGGCAGGTGGCCTTGGGCAGTTCCACTTCCCCAATCTCAAAACCTAAATCATCTTGGCTTCCCTCTTCTCTCTGCCCACTCCTCAAATGTTTATCTCCACATTTGACTGGTTCCAAATTCTCCCCCCAAAGCCCCAGAGCTATTTCCTTAACTATGGTTGAATACCCAACAGGCATCTCAAGATTCACCTGGACCAAAGTGAACCACGGTCTCTTCCACCCCCCCCACAGCGGCTCACGCCTTTCCCAGCTCAGGAAACAACGACCACTCACCGAGCGAGCGGCTCTGATTAAATCCCCCACCCATCAGCACTTTTCCGTCTTGCTCACAACCCACATTCAGTCTGCTGGCTCCGGTTTCAAAATGTCTAGGGACTCCCTCTGCACTTCACTGTGTCTCAAGCCATCATGTGCCGTCCTCAAGTCCTGCAGTAGCCTCTAACTGGTCTCCCCATTTCCAGCGTTACTCCCTACACTTTATTTCAGTCACATAACAATAGAAGTGGTCCTTTAAAAACATTATTATTTTATGACGCTTCCTGCCTCAAGCCCTCCAATGGCTTCCCATCAAATTTCAATTAAAATTCAAAGTTCTGGGGCTAGGGATATACCTGACCACAAACTTGCCATCCTCCTGCCTCAGCCTCCAGAGTTGCTGGGATTATAGGTGTGTGCCGCCATGCCCAGCATTTTTTAATTTTGTAACAGGGTTTCACTAGTTGCCCAGGTTGGCCTTGAACATGCACTTCTCCTGCCTCATCCTCCTGAGAAGCTGGGATTGCAGGCATTTGCCACTACGTTTAACTCTTGCTTCACATTCCTAATACTCAATCTTTTTTTTTTTTTTTTGGTACCAGGGATCGGATTCGGGCACTCGACCACTGGGGCACACCCCCAGCCCTATTTTGTATTTATTTAGAGACAGGGTCTCACTGAGTTGCTTAGCATCTTGCCATTGCAGAGGCTGTCTTTGAACTTGTGATCCTCCTGCCTCGGCCTCCAAGCCACTAGGATTACAGGCGTGTGCCACTGTACCCAGCTCTAACACTCAATCTTTTGATGTCATTTGTCCCCCTTCCTCTAAATAAATGAAGACTTGCGGCAAAGCAAATGAAAGGCTGGCAGCTGTCATTCTTAGAGCTGAAGGCCCGCCCTCCAGCCTCTAGCCCCCTCTATTCTCCAGGGCCCACCCAGCTAGAGCACTTTTTATTCCCCAGAAACATTTGCTTCTTTGTACTTCCTGGCTCTGCTCATAGCAGCCTCTTCTGGGGGACTAACCATGGCCACCCCACTGGCAGGGTCTCTGCTATCCACAAAGCCTGCCACCCCCGACCCCCTCAGAGCCCTGACCTCCCACAGCCTGGAAGGGCTGTTGGTCACTTTCATGGGTACAGAAACTCTTTGGGACCAGGTCTAGACCAGCTACCCCTGATGTCCTGCTGACGGGTCAGCTACCTGGCACATCAGGAGTGCTGATAAACGCTGGTGATGTGCACACTGGCCGACTGCCCTGCGAGTCCTAGAACAGCCGTGATTCCTAAAGAAAACTCAAGAGGAAGCCGCGGGGACTCACCCACAAATCGGAACTGGTTTGGAAACATGTCAAAGAGCCCATTGCTATGCATGGCAAAGAGGATGGCAAAGTAAACAGCCAGGCTGCCCCAGATGAAGAAGTGGTTGATGGCTGTCCAATATCCTGTATCCAGTCCAATCTGCAGAAAGAGGTCAGAGCTGTCACAGGCAGGAGAGCCCTTAAAAACCCCGCCCCCCCAGAAACTAAAGTGGGACCCAGAGCAGCTCCAAGGACAGAAGGCTCACTCCTCCCATAGGAAAGGGCAGCTCTTTGGAGGCTTCATACCTGCACACTGACCACGATGACCAGTGACGTGGCCACAGTGACTGCAAAGGACTGGTAATCGGCCAGCTGGGTCCCATCATCCCGGGTTGCCTCGGCAAACACCCCGTAGGGAATGAAGAACATCAGCACAGAGGTGTAGATGCCCTGGGCGATGCAGATGAAGAACTCCCGCTTGTTGAAGAGGAGATTCAGCTGGCCTGGCTCGTAGAGCTTAGGGTACTCCATGCTCCGCTGCTCTGGCACATCCTGCATGGGGAGGGCCACGTGACCGGTGAGGATCGCCAAGGCAGATCCTGCCCCTTAAACCTCCTTTCCACAGACTTCAGCAACAACAACCTCAAGCCAGCTGCTCCCAGTTTTTATTCAGCAACTCAGGAGAGCTGTGGAGGAGCTGTACCTGAGGGGAGCCCGCCCCACACCCTCCCCGGCTGAAAGCGCCTTCCCCGTGTCCACAAGTCGGCAGGCACACGTGTCCCACGTCCACACTGTAACAGCCGTGCTCTTCGCCCTCCTACCTGGCCGTCCACCTGCCCCATACCTGGTCAAAGACGCCCATAGCCAGGACGGGGAGGGAGGTGTACACGATGTTGTACAAGGTGATGAAATACTGATCGTACACAGTCTGCAAGAGAGCGGACCGGGAAAAGGGAGTCGCAACCTCTCTTCACTGTACATCAGGCACGGGAAGTGACTGACGTGACAGCTGTTGTGGAGCTTAGGGCTTCTTGGGGATCCCTAAGGAATTTCTTGAGAGCTCTCTCTACTCTTTCAACAATTTTTTTTTTTAAAATGCATGCACTAGACAACGGGATTAGGCAGCAAACAGGTCAAATACAACCTCCTCTGCCCTTAAAAAATACGCATCACAGCTTGGGTACATTCGCTACCTGGGCTGAGAAGCCGCAGAAGAAGCCAAACCAGAAGTGAACCATGGTAAAAGCAAAGTTCTTGTAGAAGAAATAGCAGAGGAACTTGCACATGCGCAGGTAGGACCAGCGCCCATGCACCAGCAGGAGGCGCTGCAGGAACTTGAACTGCGAGAAGGAGTAATCGGAGGCCAGGACAGCCTGGATCCCTTCCTGCCCGCTGATGCCCACACCGATGTGAGCAGCTGTGGAGGTGAGAGAGGAGGAGAGGTGAGGGTGGCCGCGCCCTTCAGACCCCACCAAGTTACAGTCCCTCTCCCCAGCCGACCTCAGGGCACCTCGGCCCTCCTGCCCAGCCCACCCATGCACACAGTCTACACTCACTTTTTATTTTATTTTTTTTTAAGAAAGAGTGAGAGAGAGTGAGAAAGAGGGAGAGAGAGAGAGAACTTTAATATTTATTTTTCAGTATTTGGTGGACACAGCATCTTTGTATGTGGTGCTGAGGGTCGAACCCGGGCCGCACGCATGCCAGGCGAGCGCACTACCACTTGAGCCACATCCGCAGCCCAGTCTACACTCACTTTTGATCATGCTGACATCATTGGCCCCATCTCCAATGGCAAGTGTCACCGCCTTCTTGTACTTCTTAACCAGTTCCACCACTTGTGCCTTCTGCAAGGGGGTCACCCGGCAGCAGATGACAGTTTTGCAGGCACACGCTGTTTCCAGAAACTCCAGCTCCATGTCTGCCTCCAACGCGTGGGCCTGGAACACAGAACACCTGAAGAGGCACAGTCTTCCCGGGGATCACCTAGTGGCCTCGGCTCTTCCCTGCCCCTTGAAGATCACAACCCCCTCTGAAGTCAAGGGAAATGAGAAGAAAAAAATCTACAAGCCGTATTGAGAAAAGGGATTTCTGGAAGAATACCACTCAAGCTAAGGATGGTAACACTTACTAGGCTGTGACCATTGATGACCAGAGCATACTCCCCAGCAACGGCCTCCAAGACAGATGTGAGCTTGGAAGAAGAAAGTTTCTCCTGGCAGGTGAAGCCGTTGCCTACGGTTCGGGAAGAGTCCATCATCTTCTCCCGGGCTTTCCTGAAGGTGGAGATGGAATGGTGGTGACCCAGGACAACAGCAGTGAGTCAGGACAGAAGTCTCAATAGGATTCAGAAACCCCAGCCTGTCCCTGGGCCTCTGGCTTACCTGAGCTCCTCTCTCACCTCCAGGACAGTGTGGCCTGTGACTATGAACACCTCTGTCATGTCGTCCGTCAGCATCTTGCAGGAATAGCCAATGTTCACAGCAGTCTCTAGCAAGAGAGAGTGCAGGGGCTACAGACAGGCACCCGACAGGTCAGCCTGGGGCCCGCGGCTCCACCAGGCTCCAACGGGAATACTGCCCAGATGTAACTTCCTCTGCCCTGTTGGGCTCTCACCTTGTTTGTCTCCAGTAAGCACCCAGATCTTGATGTTGGCCAGCGTCAGGAGGGCAATGGTCTCTGGAACCCCCTGCTGCAGCTTGTCCTCAATAGCTGTTGCACCCAACAGCTGAAAATACAAGGACTCCTGGCATGAGGGTCACAGGCACAAGTCCTCCTTGCCCACCCTCAGGCCATCCTTGTGCCCTCACCATCATGTCACTCTCAACCTCCTCGTAGATGCTGGCCAGCCTGTCCTCCCGGCTGTCCTGGGCCAGGCTGGCTTGCAACCGTCTTTCGGCCCACTCCTCATAGTACTCTTCATCCAGATCCTTGTAGGCCAGTACCAGGGTCCTCAGCCCTTCCCCTGCGTACTCCTGGGGGCAGAGTCAGGAATGCACCTCTGAGTAGGTTTAGAGAGTTCATAATGCACAACATGAGGACCACAGTTAAAATCTGCAGCTGGATGCAGTGGTGCATGCCTTTAATTCCAGAGACTCAGGAGGCTAAGGCAGGAAGACTGCAAGTCCCAGGCCAAGTCCAAGACTGCAAGTCTAAACTGGGCAACTGAGGGAGCCTCTCTCTCAAAATAAAAAGGGTTGTGGCCGGGCGCGGTGGTGCATGCCTGTAATCCCAGCAGCTTGGGAGGCTGAGGCAGGAGGATCATAAGTTCAAAGCCAGCCTCAGCAAAAGCAAGGCACTAAACAACTCAATGAGACCCATCTCTAGATAAGATACAAAATAGGGCTGGGGATGTGGCTCAGTGATTTCGTGCACGGAGTTCAATCCCTATACACAAAACAAAAAGGGTTGTGAATGTAGCTCAGTCTACAGTTCCCTGGGTTCAATCTCCAGAACAGTCCCCCCAAAAAAATTTGCTGGGAGAGATTTTGGGTATTCTTACCACACAAATAAATGAATGAACAAACAAATAAATAAAGAGATGGTGGAAAAATTAATATGCTTGATTGCAGTGATCATTTCACCTAGTATATCAAAACATCATGTTGTACACCTTAAATGTGTTCAATAAACACAAGAAGAGACACACAAAAGAGAAAGCCATGCTCCCCCCCCAATGCTGAGTGCTGCAGAGCAGCAGGCCAGTCCCTCCCTCACACCTACATTCAGATGGTCGGTCGTGGTGTTGAGCAGCTCCTGGGTAGAGTGGTGCAGTCTGTCAAGCAGGATGGTGTCGGCCCCTTTGCAGTAGAGTCGGATCTTCCCCTCTGGATTCCGCACTGGGCATACAGCAGAGGGCAAGAAAAGTGCCAGAAAAATTCAGACAGGCAGAGACCCGCAGTCTAAACCCATCATTCCGCCCTCAGCATACCCAGCCCGTTCCAGGCCTGTGTGCTGCCCCCCCACCCGCCCACCTCCCAGTCCTGGCCTGACCTATGACTGACATCCGCTTGCGGATATTGTTGAAGTCCAGGATAGCCAACAGCTGGTAGGTGATGGCTGTGCCCATCTCATGGACAGTGATGGTTTTGGGTGTGCGAGAGCGGAACACAAAACCAAAGTTCCTGGCTGCAGTAACCAGGGCGCCCTCATCAGGAGACTGGGCTTTGTAGTATAGTTCTCCTAGATGGGCGGGAAGAACACGCGTGCCGTGGCATGAGTGGCCACCCTCAGGAAGCCTCAGCCCAGCAGCACTGCAACACGGAGCAGGGCCCAAGAGCGCCAACCGGGTCAGGGTAGGGAGGAACCAGCTCCGCGGCTCACCTTCATTCTTTTCTTCTGACATGACAGTGTGACACAGGGAGAGGAGGCGGAAGAACTCATGTGTATGGGGGTCCCCCATCTTGACAGCCTCCAAGAGGCTGGGGTCCCAAAATAAGAACTTCTTGTCAGCCAAAGGATTAAAGGAAAAGTTGACGGGTTCGGGCCTCTGCAACAGGTAAGAAGGCCCTTAGGAAAAGCTGGGTTGTCAGCAACAGCCCAGGAAAGAGGCTGCCCCTGCCCACCCACCTCTCAGTAGAAGAGCCCAAGATGGAAACCACTGTGGACCTCAAAATTCCCATCTTGCTATAAGTTCTTTTTTCTCATATCCATTTCTCCAAGCTGCTTCCATTTCCTGCCCAGACAACACAGCTCTCCTAATTATGCCAACGGTTCCCATCAGGCGCCCTATGTTAATGGTACACACAACAATTATGGAGACTGGCTCTTACCTCTCCCAACTCCGCTTTATGTCCCAGGACATCAAACACGTCACCTACACACAGCCACGACAGAAGGAGAAGCAAAATCAGAGCTGGAGATGTCCAAGCACCGGGGATAAGCCTCTAATACAGATCCCTGCAAGCACTGGGAAGCCTCAGCCTGGTCACTGAGCAGCTATCACTCACACACCACTGACACACGGGACAGTAGGCAATAGGCGTCCTGGGTGCCAGAACCCAGAACCGTGGCCACCAGAGTGTCGTGGGATCCACCGCTCACCATTCCTGTCCCCACCACCTCCCAGCAGCTGTCCTCTCAGGACAGCTCCAATTCTTCACCTGCTCCAGCCAGGGCTCCCGGGCACCCTGGAGGCCGGCACAGCAGACGAAGCCTCACCCACTAGGCCCAGGTCTAGGTCAGTACAGAAGCAGTCTCAGCAGGGGCTGACCCCATACAAAGGCCAGCCCCACACCCCCTGCCCCAGCCACCCCAGCAGCTCAGCCACCAGGCCACTGCACAGGGCCACACTGGTAAGACCATGGGCACACTCCAGAGACTCAGCAACATGGGTGGGTCTAGAATTCCACTGGGTCAGCCAAGGTCCAACCTGGCCAGGATGACCAGAGGGCAGTGTCTGGGCCTCACTCCAAACATCCAAAGAGCTCCCCTAGTGCCTGGAGCTGAGACCGGGCAAGGGTACCAAGTGAGGACGAGGAAAAGGCTCTCCGGATCTGCTTCCTGGCATGGGATACAGAACAGACCCCCTCAAGGACTCTCGGACCCAAAGAGCAAAGAAGCAAAGTCCAATGTCAGACAACTGTAAGAGCCCCGGTTCCATTCTCTTTCCAAGCGAGATGTGCAGCCCCACCCTCGTGGCCCTGCCGTACCGTAGCTGCGGCCATTGATGGAGCACTTGTTGAAAACCATGATGTTCTGCGTGAGGGTGCCCGTCTTGTCGGAGAAAATGTACTCCACCTGGCCTAGCTCCTCATTGAGGGTGGTGGTGCGGGCCTCGGCGGGTGTGCGCTTCTTCATGCAGAACATCTTCTTGTCCCAGTTGATGAAGTAGCTGTGACCCAGACGGATGACCTCCACACTACACAGAGGACAGGAGGTGAGGCTTGGTGCGAGAAGGGGAAGAGGTGCCCCCCCCCCACATGGGCCTTCGCTGCAGGCCCTCCATCTGGGGAGAAACGAGAACGGAGAAGACACCTGGGCACAGGAACCTGGGTGGGAAGGGGCAAGGAGAGCCTGCAGGTGAGCCAGCCATGTACAGCCAGCAAAGTACTCCCCAACCCGCCCCTCCTGACACTCTAGACAAGAAGGTGCAACAGGCCTGGGCAGGCAGGACAGAGCGCACGGTGGAGGGAGGAAAGGACTGCAGACAAGGCACTCAACCAGTTCTTACCTCAGGACTAATAATACAGAAACCACGCAGAAAAAACAAGAGAAAGTGCGAGAGGGAAGGGAGAGAGAAAAGAGAGAAATAATGAGGGTGCCAGGCTGGGAATGAAAACTGAGACGCAGCACGGCCCACTCGCTCCTTGCTGCCCCAGCACCCGGAGCGTTCTCCCTCCACCTGGGCCCTACACCCCGACTCTGTGGCAAAGCTGCGGGGCTGACTCCAGAAGGGAGAGGGGTTGCAACACAGTGCCAAGTTACAGGGGACGGGACTTCTGACAGTCCCCATCCTCTCCTCTGCTGAGGCAGCTCCTCCTCTTCTTTGGATGGGGGCTGACAGTATTTCCAGAAAAGGCTCTGTGTTTAGGTCCAGAGGTCCAGCAATGGGCTTATCGGGAACTTTGCTCCTGACCTGACCCAAGCTCCTATCAGGATCCTATTACCAGGTAAAAACTGAGGTAGCTGGAAATATCATCATAACCTTTTCCCCATGCAGCTTATAACCCTGCCTCCACCCCACCCCGAGACATACTACAACTTGATGGGACGTAGAAAACTTCCTCAGGCAGCTCCCAAGGGCTTCAAATAGACTTAGATACAAAACAGGGACAAGAAAGCCCAAAGATAAGAAAACAAAATCAGGTTTTAAGGGAAAAAACATTTAAATAAATAATAATGTGGAACCAGAGTTGCAATGATAACAGATATACACCATCCAATATTTGTATAATGATTTTTTTTCTGGGTGGAGGGTACTGGGGATCAAACCTAGGGACACCCATGAACTACATTCCTCAGCCCTTTTTATTTTTTAATTTTTTTAAAATTATAGATGGACACATACCTTTATTTTATTTATTTGTTTGTTTTATGTGATGCTGAGGATCAAACCCAGTGCCTCACACACAAAAGGCAAGGGCTCTTACCACTGAACTACAACCGCAACCCCCTTTTTATTTTTTGTTTTAACCTGAGATCTTGCTAAGTCCCCAGGCTGGCCTTGGACTTGCAATTCCTCTGCCTCAGACTCCACAGTCACTGAGATTACAGGCGTGCACCACCATGTCCAGCTACAATAATCAAACTTTTAATCTATGTTTTTCAAACTAGTGTCTTATGTCAAAACGTCCCTGTGAGGAAGGTGAAACAGGGGTCCCATTTTACAGGAGAAACCAAAAGTCCCAGAAAGCCTCAAGTGACTGTGGCCATCTGTCAAATCTAGTCGAGCAGGCAGGACTAAACCAAGAACCTTCTGACTCTCCTCTCTGGGCTCGAATAAAGCCCAAACTGTACTTTCTTGGCAAAGAAATGCTTCATCTTCTACTCATCATCATCCATCCTAGGACTTTGGGCCAGTAGGAGAATTGAGGAAACCGTCAATCAAACACAGGAGCCGGGAAGACTCTGAATACCGCCACAAAGAATCTCCTGTGAAATGCCCCAGGTCCCCTTATCTCAAGTTCAAGGTTCGAGGTAGGAAAGTTTCTTTCTCCTGGATTCTTCCTTTCACCTCTCCCAGCCCCCTCCTCCTTCCACTCTTACTGGCCTGTCCCTGTGACACTCTTCACCTCAAGCATCCAAGCACCCTGCCTGGGCCCCCGACCCTGCACATGCCGCACTCCCCTGCCCAAAGCTTCTTTAGATTTTTTTAGAATTTATTTTTCAGATGACTTCTTTTTTTTGTCGTTTATTCGTTTTTCCAAAGACCTTATAATGGCTTATGAAGTCCAAGGCCACAGGCCGAGACTGAAGACCCTTCGCAGTCAGGAGCGAGCTGTCATTTCCAGGTCTCTCTCCCACAGCTCCTCATTCACGTCCCTACTCTCTGCTGACCTGAGGCCATTCCCAGTGCCCACTTCCTTGCCATGGTTCCTAGCCCTTTCCTCCTCCTCTCTTTTCCAATCCCACCTTCACTCATCTCTTCTGAGGTGTCTTCCCTGATTTCCTGCCCGAGGAGCAGGGCTCGTCCCCACCTTGGGCACCTGATGCCCCCTGCATGGTGTATCAGTGTCTGACCAGGTTCCGACTCCCCACCGCCACCGCCACCGCCAGGCTACTGCTTTTGAAGGCACAGGCCATCTGACACATCTCAGTGTCTGAAGACTGTGGATAGAATGACTTCTACAGGACTGAGTCCCAATTTTATTTTAATCATGCGTTTATATTTTTCTTGTTCTTTTGGACCTGAGCTCCTAGCGTAAAGGAGATCCATTCCAATTCCTATGTGCCACAGTGCCCACCACGCTTCGCTGCACACAGTGCATGCATGACACATATGCTAAATCTACGCTCAAGGGTTTTGCTCTAATACACTCCCAGTGCCAGGAAACTGGTAAAAAGTCTACTTTGTACACAAAGATAAAAAGACAAGACAAAATGCTCACAGTACAGAAGAAACGGAGTTCATGTTCCTTCTCAATGATTGAATATTTACAGAAAAGTTTATCAAAGGACCACTGGGCTCCCTGGACAGAACCCAGAGCAGAAAACAACATACCTGACATACAGTGAAATGGGCACCACGGTGTTAAGGATGATGATGTAGGACCAGAAGGAGAGGAAGCCAGAGAAAAAGGCACTGTCCACCGCTTCATCCCAGGGCAGGTAGACCTGGAAGCGTGTCCCAACTTCATGTTCCCAGATGGCATTGCCAATGGCCAGGATCACCCCCATGCAGACCAGGAATCCAAAAATCTGAGGAGTGAGAAACAGAGACTAATCAGAGACTTAGAAAACAAATGTCCCCCTGAAGGAAGTTCCTACTCAGGCCTGAGCCCTAAAAATCATAGGAATGAGCTCAGAACTGGCTCTGGTCTGCCACTGACCACCACGTGGCCCTCTCTGAACATTTCCTCCTGTGTACAGTAGGGAAGCTGAAGAAGAGAAGTTGCTCCCAATATGGAACCCTCAGGAGTCTTTAAGGTTGGTGAGTGGGGTGAACCACATTTCACATACCAAAAACACTTAGTGCAAATTACCCATTTACCTGGGCTAAGCCTTCACAAACCAACAAAAATGCCAAGTTACTATAATGTATATATACACACACACACACATACATGTAGGTGTATATATATATATATATATATATATATACACATACATATATATATAAAATATAGTATATATACGCCTATATATGTTTACTTTTTTTTTTTTTTTGCAGTACTGAGGATTGAACCTAGAACCTTGCACATGCTAGGCAAGTGCTCTATCACTGAGCCAGCCCTCTAGCCCTTATAATGTCTATTTTATACAGATTGTTATTTTTTTAAATATTTTTTTAGTTGTATGTGGACACAATACCTTTATTTTATTTATTCATTTTTATGTGGTGCTGAGGACCGAACCCCAACACCTCATAAGTGCTAGGCGAGCACTCTACTGCTGAGCCACAACTCCAGCCCATTTTTTTTTTTAACCAGGGAAATAGAAGCTGGGCACAGTGGCACATGTCTGTAATACCAGCAACTTGGGAGGCTGAGGCAGAAGGATCAAAACTTCGAGGCCAGCCTCTGCAATTTATCAAGGCTCCAAAAAACTTAGCGAGATTCTTATCTCAAAATAAAAAATAAAAAGGGCTTGGGATGTAGTTCAGTGGTAAAGTACCCCTTGGTTTGATCCCCAGTGCCCATTAATAAATAAAACAAACCAGGGAAACAAACTGTATCTTGATAACTCCAGATTTCTTGATTAATCAAAACAGCTTGGAGTCCTTGATGAAGGATCATAAGAAAGTCTGGTGATTATAAGAGAATAACCAAGGGCTGGGCTGTGGCTCAGCAGCACAGTGCTCACCTCACACACGCAAGACCTAGGGTTCCATCCTCAGCACCACATAAAAATAAATAAAATGAAGGTATATAAGAGAGAGAGAGAGAGAGAGAAGAAAATAACCAAAATCCATATGTCTGATTTCTGACATCTATTTACTTTTTTCTTTTTCCTCTCTGACAGTTATTTCCAAAGCCTTCTTCACCATTGAGTTTGAAATAAAACAGGAACTATCCTGGTGCCCAACGACCACCAGGGGGCCATGTGAGCCTCTACAGGCAAAATCTGCCCTGGAGCTCCCTCAAACTGGGATTTTGCAAGCCCTTTAAAACCAGGGTGGCCCCAGCCTTTGCAAGCTGGCATGTGGGGGGCAGGCGGCAGGCAAGAGGGTGCAAGAAGGGGAGCAGTGTTTAACAAGGAGCTCAGGTTTCTAGCTAAACAAGAGAAGGACTCAAGAATTGCCAAAAACGAAAACAGAAACTTTTCCTTTGGGATTCTTCATCCTTATAAGTTGGGGGGGAAGACCCTGCTAACCAACTTCCAAGTGGAAATTTTTTCTTTTAATTCCCTCTCCATCCTCATGAAGGCCTCCTTGTCTCTGGCAAAGGTAAACAGAAGGTCACATGATGCACTAAGTCATCATCATCATAACTGGGATCCAGAGAAGGGACGATTTGTTTTAGCTCTAAGTTGTTGATTCATGCACGTTCCTAAGGTTTTTTAAAAAAATATCTTCCAAGTCTAAAAGAAACCTGAAATAAACATTGCCTTTGAGTAGCTAACCTGCACTGACTTTAAAACCAAATCCAAAGCCTGACTATTGACCAGGGAAGAGCAATGGAAGCCAAGGGAACCACCCAGGGAGAACCAGAAGGGCAGAGAGGGAAATATATGTGGGATTTTACCCAGAGCACCAGTGTATTCATTAGGCGATCAATACTTGTTCTCTTGAACTTTGTTCTACCGCTGTTCTGCATCAGCTTAGTGTCAGGACCTAGAAAAGAATAGGAAGCCAAATAACAAAACTGCCTCTGAATTTCTGCTCTGATCCCCAGAGGTAGTACATCAGGATGGAATGGAGACACTAGGTGGACAAGAGACTTGTATTCAGGGCTGGAGGTTTTGTGCCTTACACACTCTGCCAGCCCACCCAGTTTCAACCCATACTCCTGAGGGAGGGCTGAGTCACCTTCTCTTACCCTTCTTCCTTTGGATGCTAGAAGGCTCACCTGCAAAGATGACCAGCCCGAAGCACCACTCGGTGTTTCGTAGCACACAGCCCCGCAACAGCATGTTCTGGTTGCTCAGGGGGAACTTGCTTTCCTTCCAGTAGAGGGTTCCACTGAATTTGTCCAGCTTGTTGTTGGGAGGTTCGCAGATCACTTCACCTGGACGGTAGATAACAGTAACACGGCTCAAGCTCTAGTTTACAATTCGATCACGTGACAATAAAACAGAAAGAAAAAGTAGCTAAAGGAGAGAGAGTAAGGACAGGGACCATTTGCATACTGCTGGCAAGAGTGTGAGCTGATGCCACTTTTCAGAAAAAGAATGAGGCAGCATATACTAATATTAAAAGTACATACATATGCCAGGTGCAGTGGCACATGCCTGTGATCCCAATAGCTTTGGAGGCTGAGACAGGAGGATCGCAAGTTCAAACCCAGCCTCAGCAATTTAAAGAGTCCCTAACAACTTAGCAAGACCCTGTCTCTAAATAAAATATTTTAAAAAGGGTGGGGATGTGGTTCAGTGGTTAAGTTTCCCTGGGTTAAATCCCCAATACCAAAAAACAAACAAACAAACAAAAAAACAAAGTACATATAAGCTTCGACTCAATAATTCCAGTTTGATCACTATCCTACTAAATAGAATAGAGCATAATATCCTATATTGAAGCATTATCAGGACAGCAAAAGACTGGAAACCATTGAATGGACAGGAGTAGATGAATAAATTATGATACATCAGGTTTTTTTTTTGGTGCTAGGGACTGAATCCAGGGCCTTGAACATGGCTAGGCAAGTGCTCTATACTAAGGTTTTCTCTAAGTTGCCCAGGCTGGCTCTGATGATACAACAATTTTATGAAATATCATGCAGCTACTAAAGAGAAAAAGGTAAATTTCTTTATACAGATGACAAGATGCTTATGATATATTTAATAAGCAAAAAAGGTAGAAACTTCAGTACAAAAGAATTGCATTTTTTATTTTTATGTATACAAACATATGTAAAAAGTGTAGACTACTATACACAGGACTGACTGTTAATTAACATGGTCATCTAAGAAGGGCAGGAGAGTCCATAAACTTTCTTATACACTCTGTATAGTTGTCTTTGTGTATGTGTTACTAGGATTGAACACAGATGTACCCTACCACTGAGCTACATCTGCAGTCTTTTTTATTCTTTAAGACAGAGTGTCACTAAGTTTGCTAAGGGTCTCACAAAGTTGCTGAGGCTGGCCTCAAACTTGTAATCCTTCTGCCTGAGCCTCCCAAACTGCTGGGATTACAGACACATGCCACCATGCCTGGCAGTCTGTCTTGTTATAAGGAGCACATATTATTATTCTGAGCTAACACCCAAACAGTATAAGCTGAATTTCTCTCAAGATGCACAGCAAGTGGGGAGCTATCAGTCTCAAGGCTTCCTTAAAATGATCATCAAATTGGAACCACCTGGCATTCCCAGCACCCCCACCCCCAAATCCAAGGAGTTGCATAATCACAGCAACCAGAAGCCAAAAGGAAAAGGTACAATTTAAATTCTAAAACCCAGCCCACTTCTTTTACCTGAAGACTGCTTCTCCAAGATTACTCACCATCAAACTTGGCAAGCTTACTGATGTCTCCCAGTTCTGAGGTGACGGGAATTGCCTGACGCACTTTCATGTTGGTCTCTCTAGAAGGACGGTACCCTTGAGTCCCGGCTCCCTACCCACCCAGTAGCCTGCTCAGGAGCACCTGACCACGGGCATCCCACTTCTCAGCACAGCAAATACTTCTACGTATCCCAAAGCGTTCTCCCCTCCACCCCACCCTCGTACTGGGGATTGAACCCACGGGTGCTCTACCACAGACCTACGTCCATCCCCAGCCCTTTGTAATTTTTTTTTTTAGACAGGGTGTCACTAAGTTGCCCAGGCTAATCTCAAACATGCTATCCTCCTGCCTCAGCCTCCCGAGTCTCTGAGATTATAGGCATGTGCCACCATACCTGGCTCCAAAGTCTTTCTTACCCCTAAATTTTCCAAAAGGTATAAGCCCAGGCCTGAGACCCACTTTCAAAAACAATCTTTTCACCCCTAAAAAGGAAGTAAAAGGGCTGACACTTGAGCATGCCACTTACCCATCGAGTTCTGCCGTCTCTATGTAACACAGCCCATGGGGCTCACTGCTGGAGAGGAGGAGGAGATCCGCCTGGAAAGAAGCCCTAATGAGAAGCCCAGATACGCAGGTCTCCACCTGCAGCCGCTCTGCAAGGATCCTCTCCCCCACCTCACCCTGCCCCCCCCCCCAGGCCGAGCATTCTTGGTTTTCCTAGTTCCGAGCACATGAACGGCAGGTCCCAGGCATATTAAGCCCTCCACTCAAGACAGTCTCCTTCCATGGGTGTTTAAAAGGCAAACGGAATCAGGAAGGACCTATCCCTTTCTGCTAAAGAGGAAGGTGAGCCCTGTAGGCCTAGAGCGGCCACTTTTCCCTTACCGCCACAAACTGGTTGTTTTCTAGCTTGATGATATCACCAACACAGACATTCATCCACTGCTCTTGCTGGAGGCTGCGGCAACAAGACAGTAAAAAGGCTGTGAGTAGCTACAGAGGTTTCCAGGGCCTTTCCTGCTTTGTCCCCAGGGCCCTTGTTCCCAAAAGGCACTCACATTCCATTGATGAGCACCTGAGACTGACGGTTATTCACCTGGTTATCACTCTTGTGGCGGAACTGAAAAGAAGAGAACTGAAAAGTTGAGACACCTTCTCCTGCTCCAAAGAAGGGGAAACTCAGAGCATGCTGGGCAACACCTTCCACACACCTATTCACAGACCATCTCTTCCTGACTCCCCTCCTCACCCTTAGCTACATTATCATGGACCTAGCGGGACCAGGTAAAGGATGTCTAGGTCACCAAGGAACTGTGCTGGGCGAAGGTGACTGTGTGCTGAGGGTGGAAGAATAAAAGAATGAAAGAACTCACATAGTCGTCGGTGGCATCTTTAACAGCGGTGATGGTGAGGACAAGAACCAAAGGCACGATGGTGGTGAACCAGGACAGGGAAGAGATCTGTGGGATCAACTGAGAAGAGGAAAGGGAAGCGGGCATCTGAAGCCCCAGCCAAAGCTTTCTTGCCCCACATCTCCCTCCTCTGTCGAGAGTCTTCTGAGGGCTGTGTGTGGACCGAGTCGCGCATCGTAGCCTCGTGAGGGGCTAAGTCTGGCTCTGGAAACTTCCCATGGCAGCCCCACAGGGACAGACCGCCTGATGCAGGTGAACTTCCCCTACAAGTTCTGCTTTAAAGGTTCCCACACAGCACCTGAGATGGGTGTGACCTGCCAAGATGCCAATCAACCTGCTGACTACAAGACATTGGATGCAAGACTCTGCCCTTGAAACCCTATCCATGTCTTTGATGTACCCCTTGAACAAATCACAGGAGCCACCTTTCCTTTGTCTAGTTCCATCTCTTGTGTGGACTGGATGTTATCAGGGGTGCCACTTTTGTAAATATATTTCTGGCTCTTGGTATTTCGTTCTTCACTAATTATATTTCATGTGGCTTACCCCCTCCTCGGCAGGAAGAACCACCCCCCAACGAGACGCTGGCCATGGCCCCCATTATTCTTCCTTGGCTTTGTGAGTTGCAAGGGATATACTAGAGGTCACTCACCTGCAGGATGAGAAGGAACAGGAAGTAGGTGTTGGCAACTTCCTGGAATTGCTCAAAGAGGTTGACAGGCAGGAAGGTGAGAATATTGTACTTGGAAGTCTTGATGCAGTTACTCTATGGCAGTGGGAGAGAAGATAATGAGGCGGTCCCCAAACTCAATCCAGAATCAGACGGAGGCCGTCTCCTCCATCTCTACACTTCCCCAAACCTCTGCCCCCAGAATCAGCACTGGAGTGGGAGAGAGGAGTCGAGTGTCTGGGGTCAAGGTATTCTGATTACTGACAGGTGAAGGACTCCGGCACAGTATCAGATGGAGAGCAGCTGAAGAAGGAGCCTCCACCTCCTCAAGCACCTTCCTATTCAGTGCTCAGTCCAAGCCCACGACAGCCCTATATTTCCCCACTCCCACTCAGGACGTGGGAACAGGTGGTCTAGATCACTTACCGCATACTGGAATTTCTCATTGTATTCTCGGTCATTAGCCCGCGCCCTCCTTTCTTCTTCTACAACAGAATGATGCCATAGTTAGGAGCAGCAAACTGAGGCCTGCACCCCCACCTGGCCAGGTCCATCCTACTTTATGGACATTCCACCAAAGGTCCCTGTTTCTTTTCACCAAATAGTTTTATGGCGTTTGCTCCACACCTGAGGTGTCATTAAATTCTTCCCTCTAGTCCAGCTTGCACCAACAGCACAACCACACGGTTCTGCAAGTTACATTCAAAGGACAGGATAGGTTCTCTTCCTCACCACCAATAATCTTCTACTGGGAGCACTCAGTTCTTCTGTCCTCCCCTTCTGGAAGAGCCTTAGCCATTGATGGTCATGGAGTCCCCAGACCCTTTGGCTGCTATCATCATAATCAAGGAGTAGCAGCTGAAGACACAAAGCATCCTTCCCCCTAGAAACTACTGCAGATCTAACCACGGGACTGCTGCTCTCCCCCTACACTGGGGACTAATGGGGTGCAAGTGGGGAGTGACAAGACAGAGGGTCACTGTGCCCTGGAGCTGCTCTGCGGCAACATCCCAGCCCCACGTGCAGTCCCCCTACAGGAGCCTCTGGTTGTCACATGTCACCAGCAGCAGCTTCTGACTGGCCAACAATGACATCATCTTATTTCAAAGCTCATCTTCAAGTAGGAGAAGGTGGGGGAGTCAGGGATATGGGTCATGCAGACTGAAGCAGAGATGCAAGAGAGAGGAATGAGATGTAATGGAAACAGTTGCTTTCTAACTGTAACCTTTTCTGTACCATCTACGAGTTTCCCTTAAACTGCTCACTCAGTGACATCTATTTAGCTACCCCTTTAGGTTCCCGACTGTAACCACCAAGTTCAGGTTCCAGAACAAGGGAATGTCCTATGGAGGGTTCCCCACATCCCAGGGGTCACTTTGATCTCATGCTGTAAGGGGAGGGGGGATTTGATCAGACTGTAAACCTAATGCCTTAAACCTGCCAGAGAGCCAAAGGCAGTGTTCCAGGCCCCTTCCCCCAAGACCCCTGCAGAGCACACTGCAGTAACAAAATCTCAGGCCACAGTGTCGCCAGCCTATTGAGCCACTTTACTCCCAAAAACTTCCCCTAGAGAAGCCTCCTCGTGCTGAGACCCTACGCAATCACCAGAGGCCATGCAAAGGAAGGAGGCAGGGACTCACACTTTAGAGCCAGGATCTGGGTCTAGATAGAGGACGGGGGAAGACTGGGAAGGCACAGGACAAGGGAATGTAGGGATTGGAGAGGAGGAAATTATGGGCTCGGGAGAGCTGCAAGATGCTGCCTCCCGTTACCTGTCCCCCAAGAAGGCTTCTTTCGGCTCCAAGAGGGTGGTGCCCCGGCCCGGGCCCACTTCTCGGGCATCTCCTTGGGGACCGTCATGATCCGGGTTTGAGTGGGGAGAGCGTACTGTCAGTTCTTGGCCTCAGCGGCGCCTACGGGGCGGCCCCCCGGGGAGGCGCAAGTGCCGCTGCCGCTTAGAAGTGAGCCCCGGCCCACCGGCGAGCACGCCACCCGCAAGCCAGGCCATCCTCACGGGCACCGGCGCGCCGGCCCGGCAACTCCGTGAGCTCAGCTGCGCCGCCCCCGAAGCCCCCAGCGAAGGACCGACTGCACGCGCTGAGTGGCCCCGGATGCGGTGCGCACGCCCCGGGCTCCGCCCCCTCCCGCTCCCCGCCCCCTCCCGCTCCAGGACTGCAGGGGCAGCAGCCTGCCAGCTCGCCGCGTAGGCGACAGCCAGCCCGAGCGCGCCCCGCCTCCGCTCTCCCCGCCCCGCACCCGGCCAGGGCCGACGTTGGTGAGCCGGCTGCCGCGGTTGTCGGGGGCAACCGTTTCATTCCCTCCCTACCCGAAGGACAAGGAAGAGGACCCTGTGGGGAAGAGACAGGGGCTTCCCAGGCCAGAAAGTAGCAGCTGCAGGTGCCCCAAGAAAAGAGAGCAGGTGTTTCGGGGTCAGGTTGTGAGGGATGCAGGGGGGGTGTGGGAGATTTGACAAGGCGCTAAGTGAGTCGGGGCGGGGGGGGGGGAGGGGGGCTGGTACTCAGCACTATCCCAGCAGAGAACCCAGCTCAAGCATCAGACGAAAAAATTGTGTTTCCTAGGCTCTTCCCAGGATGCGTAGGGATCTTAATCTCCCCTTTCCCAGATCCATACCAGCTGTCCCTCTTCTCCTGTCTCCCTGAGCCATAATAACACTCACTCTTGTCTAAATTCCCAGGGATTCCCACTTCTTGCCCTTCTTACCTGGGGGGCGCTTTTTTGCACACAGTGCCATCTCACCCAGCAAGGTCCCAGCAATCCCATGGGAGACCCTGTAGGAAGGTGATACATGAGTGTGGTCAGGAAGCTGAGGGTAACCCTTTATTCCCCTCATTAGACCCTTCCTGAAGGTTCTCCAGCACTGATCCTGACCTCTCCATCCCTCCCCACCAACACTCTCTTCTTTCTGCCCTGTCCAGTACCTGAGAAAAGGGGCCATCCCTTCTGCTTTGGATAACATGGAAGGAGGGAAGAACTGAGAGTTTACAGAAGTCAAGGCCTGCAGGAAAGGGGTCTAGGAGAATAGGCAAGGAATTGATAAGAAGGGCACAGCTGCGCGTGCCTGTAATCCCAGCAGCTCAGGAGGCTGAGGCAGGATGATCAGGAGTTCAAAGCTAGCCTCAGAAATTTAGGGAGGCCCTGAGCAACTCAGCAAGACCCTGTCTCTAAATAAAATGTTAAAAAGGGCTTGGAGGCTGGGGTTGTAGCTCAGTGGTAGAGTGTGGGAAGCCATTCTAACACGTGATTGGGTGACTCCCGTTAAGGGGCTGAGGCACTTTGGCAAAGTCGAAGTTTTCCCCGACCCTTTCCTGATGAGAGAGCCCATCCGTGTGGAGGTGTGCCTGACCACTGACCCCGGGGACCCCATCACTGACCCTGACCTTGGAGTGCAGCCCCCCCTCAACCTTCATTGGATGGAATTCTCCCCTGAATCTCTTGTTCCCCAATAAAAGGCTGGTCCCCGGAGTGCTCTCTCTCTCTCTCCTGCTAGCCCTGAGTAATCCCTGCTGCCCTGCTGGGCAGTTTAGAGAAGCGAACCAGAGAGGGGAGCCGTCTCAGACCTAGCAATAGAAATAAGGTAAATGAGTCTGTGTTTTTATTTCAATCTCTTCTAACTAACTTTATGCCTAGAACCTCATTAATGAAACCATTGCGCAGGCCGCGTGGTAGAGTAGAGCGCTTACCTAGCATGTGTGAGGCACTGGGTTCAATCCTCAGCATACTTAAAAAATGAATAAATGGGTAAAATAAAGGTATTGTGTCTATCTTCTTTAAAAAAAAAAATAATAATTTCAAGCTACTGGATTCCCTTTCTTAAAAGGGGGGAGCGAGGCCTGGGGCTGTGGCTCAGTGGTTAAATGCCCCTGGATTAATCCAGGTATTAAAAAAAAAAAAAGAGAGCACAGCTTTCAAGGTACCATAGATGCTTCATGTGCTCCCCTGCCAACAGACAATGTGTGCCTGTATTCCTGGTGACAGTGTGTGGTGACTGTATTCCTGGTGGCAATGAGTTGTTCATGTACTAGAAAGCAGAATGTCCCCCAAAAGGGTGGGGTGGAGGGAACATAGCCAGGAAGCACCTGGCAGGACATTAGGAAATAGGGTGGGCAGGCTCCACCCTTCTCAAAATGCTCATCATTCCCCCAGCTCACCCCATTACTGGGGTTTCCATTATCACCTCCTCCACATTGAGTTCACATTAGAAGCATGGCCTTCACTTCCTGCACAGACAGTCCCCAAACCGCTTCCTCTCAATCTGGGTCAGCCACCCTTCTGGGCCAGCAGAGGGGTCTTCCTATCCTGTCAGAGAGTCACCCCTGCTCTCTCCCACTCTGTGCCTAGTCCAATCAGCCTGAAGCTCAGTGCAGGCCAAGGAGCATCAGTCACACAAGCCTCTGCTTCCTTCCACCTTCCTGTGTCCTTTCTTTTTCCTAAAAAGGCATAAGGCCTGGCCTACAAGACAGGCTCACAGAGCCTCAACCCTATTCTCCAGCCTGGTCCAAAAAAAGCTGCCAGTCAGTAACCTCCTCTTTTTTTGTCTGGGTGGAAGGGTTAGCCTTCCACCTCCTCTTTGGTTCCCCTGCCTGCAGCCTATGGGCACACCCACCAGCCTGTCAGCCCCAAGAGATACTAATTGCCTGTCTGCCCAACCTCTATAATTACACACTCTGGCCACAGCGCAGGCACCCACACCAATTCTCCCTTCACTAGCACACACTCCCTGACCCCAGACCAGGCAATACCAAGAGCAGAAGTCCTTTTCATCCCTGATCCTCCCCAACTGCAGCAGGCAAGGCAGGGGTGCCTGGCTCAGGAAGAAAAACTTCATCCACATTTTAGAGATGCCAAGTCCTCCTCTAGGGCCCCCAGCCAGGGTCTCCACCCAGTCTAGAGTATGAGTCATGAAGGGTGGGGTATGCAGGGAGAGGTTAAAGAAGAGGACACATGGTGGGCATCGTAGGTTCAGCAGCCAGCCAGGACCCTGGGGAGGGGAGTGATCAAGAAACACTGCCAGTCCAAAGATCTGGGTCTGCAGCCTATGAAAGAGTTAATGAAGGAGCTGGGCAGCCAGGAGTCAGGAGTCTGGACTTGGACCAGGAAAGTTGTTTTACCTCTAATACCCTGGGGAGAGAAAAAGCAGACTTGGCCCCAGATCCCATCCCCTCTGGGGGCAGTCATAGGAAGGGAGAGGGAGGGAGATGGCTGGCAACAGGGACCCCTTCTCACTTCTCCTTCCCAGTCTCACACAGCCTCGGTTGTCTGAACTGGTCAGGCCCATCAGCCACGTCGCCCTGCCCCGTCACCCTGCCCCAGCCCCAGCCCCCTCTGCAGCCACATCTGGGATAAAAATAACCAACCCTAGGAAAGAGGCAATGCTCCATGGGGGGAAAACCGCTCCTCCTCTAGGTCTGGCTTCTGCTGCCTTCCAACCAGGACTCCTTTTGGAGGAGGCTGGTGGGTCAGGAAAACAGGAAGATCTAGAATCCAAGACCCCCAGCTCTCTTGCATCACCACCGCCCTGGGCCACCTTCCCTCGCCAAGGGCAGTAACAAAGGACTCAAGCGTAGCTACCACCCCTCTGGCACCCAGACCTCCACCTTCCAGAGACAAAACCTAGCAGTCCGAACTCCCTTCCCCAAGCCCGGTCACTCTTCTCACCCCAACTCCCCAGCGGCCCTCCCTCTCGGGCCGGCCTTTCCTCGGCACTCTGCGCCCCTTCCCTGCTCTCCACGCGCCACCTGGGCACCCCATCCTCCCAGCCTGCGGACAGCCTGGGGTCTCCCCACCCTAGGCAGCCGACACCCCTTTTCTCCACCCTGCCGCTCGCCCTGCGGGTCTCCCC